ATTCTGTGGGCACAGGGGAGTGTGAAGCAGATGCTAGGTGGAAGCTGTAGTGACTCAAGGTCTAGCTGTACTATTTCTTTTTAAAAGGGAAGACATAGTGCTTCTTTGTTGTCTGTTTTGCTCTAGTTGCAAGTCTCTTGGCAACAAGTAAACCTCTCTCCATGTGATTTTATACATGTGACCATAATGAGGCAAATTTGAGACCTAGGATGTAGGGTGTCCCAGACGGGACACTGTAGCCAGTAAAGCCTTGAAGGCAGAACCAAGGGGCTCTATCTTGAGGTCATCTTCCCTGCCGCTAGGAATTTATCTGTGGCACGAAATGAATACCAATGGGGCTATCTGTGCATCACTAATGCCCCTTAAGCACCACCCCAAACCTGAGCTACATGTATGCCCCCACACCACGTGTCTGGCGAAGAGAATGCCAGATCCCGGAGGGTCAGGGAGTCTCTCCTCACATTCTTTGTCTCTTTTATTTCATACTTCTTATCTTTTCAGCTGCGCCAAAATCCTATCAGATGGTTCTCTTCCGCGCCAAAAATTCTATCAGGTTGTACCAGTGAGAACAATAATAGTCAGACCATTCCTTTAGGATATCAGTCCAAAATGATCCTGGACAACCCACCTTCAACGTCAAGAATCCAGGGTGTGACTATCTTGTTTTGACTGATTAGACTCTGTTCCATTCTGTATGATAGTATCAAGTTTGAGGGTATAGGCAACTACTTTGAAGGCAGTAAGATTCACTAAGATGCCCATTCTGGTTTGACTATTATCTGCTTTGGAAGTCCTGTAATGTTTACAATGTTTAAGTTTTATTGGTCTTGTTCTCTACTGTTTTGTTCAACTTTATAATACCTAATGAGATAGACAATTCTTTTTAAGGAAGCAAGAGGCATTATGGTAACCATGGTTGATAACCTTGTACTCTGTTTTTACATCATGTACTATGTCTATCCTTTTGACTGACAGCTTTGTTTTCCCATATTTGACTTTATTCTCTTCCAAAAAAAAAAAAAGTAATAAGAACTAAGGAGTAATAAAACCCAAAACGTATAAATTTTGTTGTAAAAAAGAGAGGGAAAAAAGTGCTCTAAAGGATACAACAGCAAGTGTGTTTAGGGGTGTTAAATAGCTGACCATATTAACGTTTTTGGTTGGATCACTGAACACAACTGTTTGCAGTCTCACTGTCTGAATGTCCACTTTGTATGCTTTGATACGGTGACTTGAGCAACTGTCTCTAAGATGATAATGTGTAATCTATTAGCTGGTGATTTCTTACTGTTTTTTTTTTTTTTTTTTTTTTGTAGTTCTGTATTACTTGTACCCTTATACCACTTTGTTTTGTTTTGTTTTTTCTCTTTTTCCTTTTAAATAAAATTAAAAAAAAAAAAGAATCCAGGGTGTGGTTGAAAGCCTGTGAAAGCCTTTTTGCTGTAGCACATGTGTTGACTGCCCCTAGGTTCACCCATAGCCCCCTGCCTCTACTGCACGTACACACACCCGCACATGTGGCACATGCTGACTTTCAGGCCTCAGCATAATTTCAGAGGCCTAGGGCTGCTGTTCTCCCTTTGCAGGCCCACACAGGCCCTACACAGGTAGGGTGCTAAGCAAAGAAGGTTTCTCCATTTTTGTTCACTAATGGGTTTGCCCTGGACTCAAAATACAAAAGTGTTTTTTTCTGCCAAAGTGCACAAGCAAGAAGAAAAATAGCGGCCACAGAGACCTCAAAAACAAAAGCAGAACAAAGGCCAATACCTGGAGTGGCAAGAGAGAGAGAGCTCTAAAGCCAAGTCTCACTTGACTTGAATTAGCTACACAGCCTTACTGCCAAATCAGTCCCACTAACAGCACAGGAACAAAAGGGCCAAGGAATCCATAAAGTCATTGAGGCAGAGAGCCCCCAGGAGGCAGCCGGCAGTGTTGGAGCACACCATGTCTTTCGCACATGGCTGCCTCCTCTTCATTTCTGCAGGCTCTGGGCATGGGTGCTCAGCAGGCCCTGGCCACTGTCAGAAGTCTGCAGAAAAGCCACTTCTTAGCTGTCCTGACAAGCCAGCCTACCTCTTAGCCCAGATCCCTGGCTATGCAAGGGGCAGAGAGAGAGGATGGGGACCCCACAGCAGCACAGGGTTTATGAGGGAAGATGCAGGCTGGTGAGGGAGCTGCAAGGTGTGAGCTGAAATCAGCTGTGGCACCTACTGACAGGCAGTTTTCCACCCTCAGGCCTGTGTGTGCTCAGCGTTGAGATGTGCGCTCTCAGGGCTGGTACATTAGTAACAAGGGTACACGAACTCTGTGGGTGCCTGGCTGTAGCTCTGCTCCCTTGTAGGCACAGGCAACAGAGGGCATGCCATGCTGCAAACTGCTTTGGGCCACAAGGATTCACCTCAGAGGGCTGCTGCCCTCTGACAATGTGCCTGATAGCCTCAAAAGGTCTGGAAGACTTGAAGAGATAGCTTCACTTTCCTGAAGGTAGGACAGAGGGCCGGAGCCAGGTCAGAGAATACCATGCCATGGAGGTGGGGTACAAGAGTGGCTATTGTGGGTCTTGCTGCTTCTCACGTGACCCATGGCCTGGGCCAGCAGCCTGCCCACTTGGCACATGGACTGTGTTATTTAAATGATCAATGATCTCAAATGAACAAATGATCTCATAGTATCATGCTCATAGGACTTACCTAGAGCTTCTTGGAAGGACAAAAGCGGTCTTTCTAAAATAACCAACTCTGCAGTCCAAAATCCATAATGCTGTAGACTCAAGGTTGATAAAGTAAGGTTCCAGATATGCCTGGCACAACCCTTTTCTTGTGCAGTGCCCAGGTGGGTTTGGGAGGCTGGCTCCTGAGTACAGGAGCACTAGGGATCAGGTTGCCATGGATGCCTGAGTGTCCTAGGCATGGTGGGACAGGAGAGGTGGAGGGTTGAGGCCACCACCCCAGCTGTTTACAGATTTTGTTCCTTGTGAAGGGCACCTGCCCACACTGTCTTAAGAATTCAAGCTGAGTAGTGTTCTTCCCACTTCATCCCCCAAAGCAGAAAGCTAGCACGTGCACATGCCTTCCATACAGCAGCACGTCAGTGATGTGTTAGTTACACGTGTCCCCTGATACTCCCTTTATTATTTTTTTAAGTTATGGCCAAATTTATTCAAGAAAGTAAAAGTTAAAGGGGGTGGGGAGAAACTGGCTCTGCAGAGTGTGCTTGGGTCAAGTAAAAGAATAAAAACAAGATAAACGAATACTCCGAGAAAAGTCCCAATAGGCGATATCTCCTTTAGAGGACCTCTGTAGGGTAGGAAGTTTGTTCCACCTCAGTGCTGAAGAAACTGAGGCTGACAGTGGTGAGCCTCAACCCTGGACTGTGCCTGCCACAAACTGTACCACTTGGCTGATTGTGGAATCTCAGCTCTGTGCTATGCCTCCTCACATCTGATTGTGCCCCTACACAAATTCAAAGCCTTGAAGCCCATGCGGAAGGGGGTGAGGAAGGAGGAATTGGGTGTGGATGTTCTGGCCTCTTTCTGACCAAGCTGCCAGCTCTTAAATCCCAGGCCCTTGGCCCCTTTCCTACTCAGCTTGGCCCTGGGAAAGTAAACACACTTTTGTCACCCTGACAGCATAATAATGAGAGGAAACCAGGCCCACAGTAGGAACAGACAGGACACATAGTGCCCAGCATAGCTGGGCTGCCAAGCAGAGGCCACCCTTCCCCAACACATAGTCCCATATTCATGTGTCCAAGTCAACCAGCTGCCTTCAAAGACAGGTTCCCAGGCTAGGGCAGGGACCCTGAGTCCACAGTATCCTTCTGGAGAGGTATGTCAAAATGTAACTGCCAGGTTGTTGCCAGGCGGCCAGGTGACAGCAGGAGAGGTGCTCCTCTGCTAGGCACCTGCCCCTGCTGATCTGGACCCAATTCAACACCAGGCCCGTGAAGAAGGAGAACGGCTGTGATAGCTTGGCAATTTCAGCCATGATTCATCCTGAAGCTGTCAAGGTCATAAGGCCATGTGTCATGTCATAGGAAACTGAGGGGTCAGAGCAGAGAGGTGTACTTACACCAAGCTTTCCTGGGCCTCCAACATGCCGACTGAAGATCCTGGGCTTCTTAGCCTCCACAACCATGTGGGGCTCTTATAAATCTCTTTGATCTTGATCTCTCTCCCTTTTTCTTTTTATCTTTTTGAGACAGGGTCACACTGTGCAGTTCAAGCTGGCCTCGAGCTCACTTTGTGGCTCAGGCTGGTCTCGAACTCGCAACAATCCTCGTGCCTCAGCCTCCCAAGTGCTGGGATTACAGGCATGTGCCCTCATGCCTACTTTCCTTTTTATACAAATCTCTTTATACAATGTCTTCATCTCTTAGTTATTATAATTTTTATAATCGCTTTATCTCTTTGCATAAAAAATATCCTACTAGTATATTTTTACTGTCTTAATTTTATATAAATGTATTGTCTCCCCCTTCACACACAGTATACATATTATATGTACACACAGGCCCACCTTCCATTTGTTAAGTTTCTCTGATGAGCTGGTAGGTGAGCCAGTTTCTTTCTCTGGCAGCCCTGGTTTCTCCACCCTTGATGGCCTCCCTGGACCTCAGTTCAGGAAGCCAGCAGTGGTACTTGGCCTTTAGATTAATTCCTTGCAAATGCTATCAAAGGCATGTATGAAGCTACTCTGGCTTCTGTTTGCTGATCAGAAAGTCAGCTGGAGTTTGTGTGAAGCAGCTAACTGTTCCCTTGGTCTCCTCTCCCAACAGAGTGAGGACTGATACATCAGACCTTTCACTGCTCCCCATCTGAGCTAGGATGCTCTGGGAAGCAGAGGCTTTGGTGAGCATGGGTTATCTGGGCATCTCTGATGAGACTGCAACTCTACCACTGGGTCAGCAGCTCTCCAGCCAGCAGGAGCCTCAGCTGAAAGCACATGACCTGAGCTGGGCCCTGCACTGCACCAGGCTCAGGGAAAGGGCCCCCCCTGCACCTGTTAAGGAGGTTATTGCGGCGGACCATTCGCAGAAAGCCAGTGGGGTCGGTAACGGAGTTAAGTTTGTTGTTCATCTCTTCAAACTGCTGGTCCATGATGTCTCCGGCTTCACTCTCTGTTTCACTGCTGGCACAGGCCCTGCAGAAAAAATGATAGAAAAGCCAATCAGGAAAAGGTTGTGCTGGGCTTCTGAATTCAGCTCTGATGTCCCATCTCATGAATCCTAGTACTCATGCCTCCTGACTCCAAGGCCTTCTGCTTCTCTCAGTGGTCCAAGGCCCACTTCCCATATCACTTCTCTGGTCAGCTGTGGCCAGGTGTTCATGACCTGCTGCACCCCATTCTACTGACTGCAGCTGCATGTGACTAAGTCTCATGGTCTCAGGGTCCAGCACAGGCAGAGCACATGCCAGGTACCCACTGTCTGGAGGGGCTGGCCAGACACCCTCCCCACTGGGCTCAGGCTGTGGTATGTACGGCTGTGGGATGACCCCCAGCTTGGGGTCTATGCAGCCCATTACAAACCAATGACTGAGCACCCACACTATGTGGGACACCACGCTAAGCACAGCCTAGAAAGTCACTTCCAAATGAGGAGACAGACATTCTTACAGAGGGTTGTAATTCTGTACAGTGTAGGCACCATTGAAAAAGGCTTGAGAAAGCCTGCTCAGGAGGCCCTTTCTCCAAGCTCAGTATGAGGCAGTGACCATTTTGTGAATTAGTCCTCCTGTGATGGACTTTAACAGGATGCTTGGCAGTGTGTTCTGAATAAACAGAACCCAGGAGTGTCTTGATTCATCAACATGATTAAAATGACAAAAGGCTTGTTAGATGTAAATGTCATTCACTGTCATTCACTGTGTCCCAAGGATAGAAAGAAATGACTAGGACACATGTCCACAGGGGTACTGCCCACTCTCATAGTGAGAGCAGCCTCTCATTCAGCAAGGCCCCCCTCAGCTCTGATCCTAACCTTCTCAGGCATTGGATTATACTGAACTTGGAGATGCCTAGTGGTTTCTCATCCACAGATAAATCTCAACCCACCAGCCCATGACTTTCTCTTTCCTGATGACTGAGAACTAATGTTGATGAGTGGAGAGTACAGGGCCCTAAAGTCAGAAGACAGACTTGCAGCCTCTCCTGTGCTGGCCCAGTGGCACTCTGGGAAGGCTATTCTTCCTGTCACTGTGAAGGAAGAGGCTTGACACATAGGGATTTGGGTTTAAGGTGATCTTCATCCTCATCAAATGACCAGGCTGCTGATACCTGTGATTGAGAAGGATATAAGCCTCTTACTGTATTATTCTGGGGCCAAATGAGATACAACATGTAAGTCTATGTGGTAAGGTAGAATGCTATATTTGAAGTCAACTCTGGCACAATGTTGAATTTTATGTCAATCTGACCGGGCTGCAGGATACATAGATAGCTGGCTGGTTGTTTTCCAGAGTACCTGTACTAGTGTTTCTGGTAGACTGAATAAAGCATGTTAACCTTCTCGGTCTGAGTGGGCCTCCTCCAATCCAATAAAGTACTGAATAGAACAAAAAGGCTAAGCAAGGCAGAATTCACTCTGTTCTGTTTTCTGACTTGAGATCCATACTCAGACTGGACCTATTCCATGGCTTCCCCAGGTGTCTTGGCTGCTGACTGTAGATCCTAGAGCTTCTCAACTTCCATAACTATGACAGCTAGTCCCTTATCACAAATCTCTTTGATCTCTTTATAGAAATTGCTTTATGAAATGTCTTCACCATTTAATCTCCTAATTATATAAATTTCATAATCTCTTTAAAAACATATCCTATTTGTATATACTTTTGTATATATTATATAAATGTATGTGTCTACATACAGATATTTGTATGCACATACATATTTGCCCATATTCTATTTCTCTCATGAATTCCCACAAAAACCCCTGGTAGTGATCCTAGAAATGTGGTGTGGCTGGCAATGAGTTGGCCTTTAGTCCCCTTTCCCTCGAGGCCCAGGCTGACTGGAGCTGGCACTTCCCACACAGAACAGTAGCCGGCATGCGGTCGCTCTGTGAGTGAATGGCTTCTGCTGGAGAGCATTTCCCAATGGGAAGTACTTCTACACAGATTTGATTTTATCTGTACGACATCTCTGTGACCCAGCTCTGACTGTCTCTGTGTATCTGACATAGGTCTGAGAAGCTGAGGCCCCTGGGCTGGCCTGAGAGTACAGGTGGCAGAGAGGGTTGAGGCCAGTTCAGGTCCGTGGCAGGTGATTGCTCGTGTTCTTACCCATTCAAGGGCCATACTTTATACTTCCTTCTGCAGGGGTTTGATTGGGGGTGGAAGGGCTGAGAAGAGGAAACTTCAAGCCTTTAAGCAAATCACCAGGGCCTGCATCGTGCTGTCAAATAAGGAAGCCCCTGAACAGGTGAGAAGGCTAAAGCGTGAAATGCTCCCGTGGGAGCCGAGGACCTTTCACAGAAACCCTGGAAAATAGCACTCAATGAGCGCCTCTGTCCAGGGATGCATTTATCACCTGAATGCAACTGCTTGCGTGGAGCTGAGAAATCTGCTTGTCATTCTGCACTCTGCAAAGGAGAGAAGAATTGGCCGGGATTGGTATCAGCTCCATTATCTCACAGTTCCACTCTAGCTGTCAGCCACAGACTGAGCTCTCAGAAGCTCCTGCTTAATGGGGTTGTTTCCTCTTTCCTGACCCTTCCAAGTATTAACACTGAAGGGGAAAACAAACATGCGATGTCACAGATAAAGGGACCTCCAATTTACAAAACAAGCCTTGTCTATATGGCAGGGTTGCAAGAATGCTGGCCACCAGTCCTCCTGTTACTGTCCCCTCCCAGTACCCACCTTCCTGGCGATTCCTCAGAGATGTCACAGTACACCTAACATGGTCCCCGAAGACCTTGATTCAATTCTTTTTGACTCATCAGTGATTCCTAAGTGGGATGGAGATGCTAAACAGGTGAGTCTTGTTATACCTGCCTTCAAGGCACTTACTGTTCAGAATGACTAATATTCTTAGAGTTTACTTCTTGCTAGATAATCCCTTTGCATTTTATTCTATGTTATAGTTAACTATTCACCTTACGCTATTCCTATGCCAGTTGACCACATGGATTCAAATTTCTGTTTTGACACTCTTAACTTAAAAACATAAATAAAATAAATTCTGCTATTACAGAATCCTGAGAGAAAAGTTAGTTACACCTTGGTAACTAACCACTGGCCACCAGATGACTAACCATCAAGAACATCTGTTACTCAACCAGCATGTGCCAGGACCTTAGCTGGGTGACTTCACATGCAGACACTCTGTGCTGAGAGGCTCAGGGAAGGTGCTAGATGGGCATGTTCATCCCCCACAGAACATGTGCACTACATGCAGAGATCAAATGAGAGTTGGAGAGGAAGAAAGAATAAACATATGAACAGACATAGAGACACAAATGGAGCACTTAGTCTCATGGTTTGATTTTGGCCACCCTTCTGAGGGCCATGATCTGAAACAGAAGGATTGCCAGAGAAGTGATGCTTTACAGACAAAACATAGCTCAGCAGGGAAAAATCCCAAGGGCTTCAAGGGACTGAGGCAATGACAGAGCAGGAAGAGTAAAAGGGGGCTCCTGGGTCCAGCTGCCATGCATGAAGTGCTAAGGCCCTGTCTCTCTTTTCTCTTATTTGGCTTATATTCTGCTGCGCCTGCATAGCTCTATACTCTCAAACCTGGCTATCTGTCGTACCCTGGACTTGATAGCCATATTCCAATTCCCTGTCTCTTGTGCCTTTTTAAGTCTAAGGATTCTAGCTCATACTTCAACTCCTGGAATCTTTTGGGAGGTAGAGGACCACCTCGTTCTTGCTCTAGACCCCTGGCATGGCACTTGACCATCAGCCAGGACTGGATCCCAATGACTCCCCAGCCTATGGTCCGGCAGAGGCTGAAGTTCAGATCATTGTTATGGAGGACAGAGTGGGCAAAAGGTCAGCACAAGCTAGCCTAGGTAAAGACAGTAAGGTACACACCCTAGTGAGTGCTGGTAGGAGGGCAGGAGGGAAAAGCAGTTCAGAGAGGCTGGAAGCTGCCCCACAGTGTCCACAGGTCCTGCGGGCATCTCTTTCAGGGGCCTTTGAGATGTGCAGCCTGAGCACTCTGGGGAATATAAATCCTATCATCAGCAGAGGCGGGCTTCAAATGCTATTCACATGCAGCTTTCCCCAGAGAGATGAAAACAGCCATAAATCAGGGTCCATAGAGCTCTGTCCTGGGGACAGGGTTTGGCAAGAGGCTCCACAGAAGATTGTCATTTGCAAGGGTGGCCTCTTAATCTCTCCAAACAACACAATCTCTGTCATCCCTCTAATAGTTGCAGCTGAAATGCCACAAAGGCACACTTTTATTTATGTCTCACGTCCCTCTGCTAACCCATTCCTTCTTCATCCCCTCACCCTCACCTCCAGGATTCTCTTAAACTGATGACCAGTTACTAGGTCAAAGATCAGCTCTTGCAACCTTCAGGCTGGAAAGCATGGATGAGAAACTTCCTGTGTACAGGGCAGGGTAGCACTACCCCATGAACCCACTCCAGGTGGGAGCCATCCGAGGCAGCAAAAGACTCCTTCTTTCATAGCAAAACTCTCCTTAAAACTAGGGAAACTTGGGGAAAAAAAGCTAGTTTTTTTGCTGCCGCTGTGCACAATCATTCAGAAGCTCCTGATTCCAAAGGCCAGGTTGTACTGCACAGCACCCTGGGCTGAGAGATCCACACCAGGAAACAGAGAATGTCTTGGAGGTATGACAACATGCTCAGAGAATGAGTACCATGGGCCTGCATGGGCTCTACATAGCCAGTCTATGAATAGTGGAAAGAACTAATTTCACCCAGAAGTCATTTAGCAGCATCTGTAACCACAGACATGAGATTCTGGGAACTCAAGATTTCTGAAATCTTTGAAACTTTCCTATGTGAACTACTTACTAGGCAAACTGGTTTTTCATAGGGATCATTAGAAAACCTTTGAAAAGAAAAAAGTCTGGGACTTACTTTAAGATACAGTAAGGAAAAAGGGGGAAGTATCTTAGTCCCTGAGTTGTCCCAATAGAAGAGTCAAAGAAACAGAGAAGAGATACGA